TTCACAGCCTCCGTAACCGCCATATACTCTGCCTTCGTCATAGAAAAAGTCACCGTTGACTGTAAGGTGCATCTCCAACACACCGGCGCACGGGTCAAAGTGAACACATACCCCGTCGTAGACCGGCGCTTATCCAAATCTCTGGCATAATCCGAATCAACATAACCAATGCATAACTGCCCACCTTTAGTGTCCCGCTCATAAACCAAACCAACATTGAGCGTACCTCGAATGTACCTCAAAATCCATTTCACAGCGTCCCAATAACCCACTCCTGAATCGTGCATGTATCTCGATATCATGCTTACTGCCTGTGACAAATCTGGTCTCGTACATACTATCGCGTACATCAAGCTCCCAACTGCGCTCGCATATGGAGTCTTCGACATCAACTCACGATTTTCAACTGACTTTGGTGAAAGACCAGCTGAAAGCTTCAAATGAGCTCCCAAAGGTACACTAACTGGCTTCGTATCCATGCTAACATAGAATTGATGTAGAACCTTCTTCAAATAAGCCACTTGTGTCAAACAAATTCTATCCTTATTCTTATCTCTACCGATCTCCATCCCTAAAATATGCTTCGTTTCACCCAAGTCCTTCATCTCAAACTCATTTGAAAGCTGAACTTTCAACTCATTTATAGCCGACCTGGAAATAGAGGCAACCAACATGTCATCGACATAGAGCAACAAATAAATGTACGCACCTCCTTTCAACTTACGAAAATATACGCAAGGATCAAACTGGCTCCGAGTGTACGAATGACCAATCATAAAACTATCGAATCGCCTATACCACTGTCGAGGAGACTGTTTCAAATCGTATAGCGATTTCTTCAGTTTGTAAACTAATTTTTCCTTCCCTGCAGCTCGGAATCCCAATGGTTGAGTTATATATATTTCTTCATCAAGATCACCATGAAGAAATACGGTCTTCACATCCAACTAATCTAACTCTAAACCATACTGTGCCACCAAAGCTAGCAAAATCCGAATCGAAGAGTGCTTCACCACCGGAGAGAAAACCTCATTATAATCTATTCCTTCCTCCTGTGCATAGCCCTTCGCAACTAACCTAGTCTTGAACCTCAATGGAGTGCCCTCAATGCCCTCCTTCTTCGTGTATACCCACTTGCAACCAATTGCCTTCCGCCCCTTTGGAAGCTCAACAAGCTCCTATGTATCGTTCTTATGAAGAGATTCCATCTCCTCTTGCATAGCCACCTGTCACAAATCAGCTTTCGAACTCTGCTCGGCCTCTCTGAATGTAGTAGGCACCAACTCATCGATACTCTCTACCGGAAGTGCATACGCAACTGTGTCGGTATACCGTGCTGGCATCTGTATGTTTCTCCTCTGTCTTCGAACCGCAATCGAATCCTGAACCTGAGCCGTCGGTCCCTAATCCTACACATCAGTACCCGTATCCTTCGTGTTACCGTCGTGCTCGCCTGGCGTCACCTCAGTCGGCACCTGTATGGATACTGTACCATCTGGACAATGTGAAGCTACATCGATCTCCACCACTTATGATATCTCCTCCGTAGGGTCGCTCTCCACCTGATGAGAGCTGGGAAGCTTCAAGATAGAAGCCTCATCGAATGTGACATCCCTACTCAGCATAGTCTTCTTATCCACTGGATCCCAAAGCTTTTATCCATTGACACCATGCTTGAATTCTACAAATATGACCTTCCTAGCTCGAGGTTCTAATTTATCAGTTCTAACATGATAATATGCAGGGCACCCAAATACCTTGAGTTGGTCATAGTCATGTGCTGGCTTTTCCGACCACATCTCCATAGGGGTTTTCCTCTCAATCGCAGATGAAGGTAGCCTATTAATGAGGTGGCTCGCATATGTAAGTGTCTCAGCGCAAAAGATCTTCTCCAAACCACTCTGCGACAATAAGCATCGGATCTTCTCCAGTAAAGACCGATTCAACCTCTCTGCCATCCTATTTTGCTGCGGTGTATGACTAACTGTGAAGTGTCTCTCTATGCCCTCGTCTCGACATAGCTGCTGAAAGGGGTCAGAAGTATACTCACCACCGTTGTCGGATTGCAACGTCTTGATCTTTCTCCCAGTCTGCAGTTCCAATCTCTTTTTCCACTCCACAAATAAATCTAGGACTTTACTCTTCTTCGTCATGTTGTACACCTAACATCGCCTAGAATAGTCATCAACAAACGTGACGAACTAATGTCAACCACTAAGTGATGCAGTCTTGATGGGACCACAAACGTCTGTGTGCATGTAGTCCAGGATGCCCCTCGTCTGATGAATGGTAGTCCCGAACTTCACCTTCGTCTTCTTGCCAAGAACACAGTGCTCACAGAACTCAATCTTCTCACTCTTGGCTCCCTTCAATAGTCCCTACTTGCATAATGCCTGCTGTGACTTTTCACCTATGTGCCCTAATTTATAGTGCTAAAGTCTGCTCATGTCTGCTTCTGAAATAGCCAAAGCAACCTGGCCAATCTCGGTGCTTCCCTTCAGATAATACAAATTCTGATTGCGGACTCCTTTCATCACCACCAATGATCCCTTAGTAACCTTCGCTACAGTATTTTCGAAAGTCACCTTGAATCCCTTCGCCTCCAAAGCTCCAACTGAGATAAGATTTTTTTTCAGTTGAGGAACAAATCTTACCTCTTTCAACTCACGGACTACTCCATCGTGCATCCTAATCCACACGGTACCTATCCCACAAACGCCACAGGATTGATCATTTCCCATGACAACAACACCCCCGTCGACTTTCTCAAAAGATGCAAACCAGTCTCGCCTAGGGGTCACATGATAAGTAGCGCCGGAATCAAGCATCCAATCTGATGCATCCACATGGTTCACCTCCGGAGTAATCAGTAGAGAAAAGCACAAATCATCGGAATCATCGTCTTTCGCAATATTCACCTCATTGGCCTTCGGGCCCTTTTTCTTGCCATTCTCTTTCTCCTTGAGCTTCGGACAGTCTCTTTTCTAATGTCCCTGCTCCTTACAGAATGCACATTGATTCTTTGCTAATTGGTGACGGCCTCTAGACTTTGACCTTCCTCTATTACCACCTTTCGGATATGGGCTTCTACCTCTCGTCGACAAGGCCTCGCCTGAAGTACTAGCGCGGGAAGTCTCCTTATCATTCCTCCTCAAATTGTAGTTCGTCAAAGCGTTAGTCACTTCACTATAGCTGATAGAATATCTCCCGTTCAACAAAGTGAGCACGAAGGTATCATACTCCTCATCCGGTAAGGAGCCCAACAAAATAATCGCCTTGTACTCATCCGCGATATCGTCATCAACATTCGCCAAGTCCGACAACAACTTAGTGTAGTTGTTCACATGAGCCGCTAGCGAGGTGCCTCTGGACATCTGAAATTTGAAGAGTCTTCGCAGCAAGTGCAACCTGTTCTCAACACTCTTTGTGAGATACTTTTTGTTAAGAATTTCCCACATCTTCATTGCAGACGTCACCCTAATCATATCATATTTTAGCTCATGTTCCAAACAGGACCTGATCACCCCACAAGCGTTCCTATTCATCTTCTCTCATACCGTCTCTTCATATTTAGGTGGCTTCTCGTGGACCATGATGGTCTCTTCCAAATTCTGAGCATTGAGCACATCTTGTACGTCGCTCATCCACAAACCAAAGTTAATTTTGCCATCATATTTCACAACACTAATCATAGTATTCTGAAAACCAACTTGTATTATACTCGTCATCGACTTGCTGCTTTCACCTTCTTCTCCCATTGCGAACTAACTCCAAATTATAGAGAAAGAATAAATTTTATAGAAATTAGGAACCACCCAACTGAACCCTAGATCGGATTCCAAATAGATTTCCTATCCACACGAGGAAAGCGAAATCTTCAACGGTAACTCCTAATGCTATCTCCACCGAAGCCTAGAACTCCAAGAACCAAGCTTCACACAAGAATCTTCCTCCACCAAACTCCAAAACCCTAGATCTGGAATCTGTGCTCTGATACCACTTGTTGCGCGCAGCAGAAATTTCGGTAGCACTTCGGCAGCACAACAAGAGAGTCAGGTCGCAATAAGAATTCTTGTTTCTCAAAGGGAACAAGAATCTGAAGCCTAATATCCCATCAAAGTGGGATATTAGCTCTTCCTCTCATCAGCTCTAGGACTGCGCGTCGAGGGAACCTAAAAAGCTATTACAAATCACACAAATAGCAGTACAACTAATTTTACGTGGTTCGGCAAATTGCCTACGTCCACGGGGTAAGGAGGGGGGAGATTTACTATTAGAGGGAGAGAATACAACTAGGGTTTACAATTACTCAATCTAAACCCTCACACAAACTCTCAAATCCCTCACACAATTATCTCTCTCAAAATAAAACAAAAGGACCGCACAAAACCAAAAACAAAATTATGACGGCTCTGCGTAAAAGAAACGGGTGGGCCGGCCTTCATCACGCGGAAACGAAACCGCGGAAACAAATTGCTCAGCACGTGGGCTCGTGGTCCCCACTCCCCACTCACAATGCTTACGTGTCATCCTTCCTAAATGTTTTTTCGCTCCTCAAGGCTCAGAAATAGTTCGAAAGTAGATGAAATGTGCATTAATTAGGAAATAAATATTTTTTATTAATATTTTATTTATTAATTACCTACCAACAACTTGTCATTGTTATCCAAACAAAAAAGGAAATGAAGAATAAGAAGTAATATATCTACTACTTTAAAAACTATGCGCGACAAACAAAAAAAAAGTTCTACTTTCACTACTTTCTACTTCATAAATTCGAAACTTTTTGATCTACTTCCTACTTTCAGTACTTCTATCAAACCAAACGGGTTGGGGAATCCTACCAACTTCAATGATGTGAGGGCAGAATTTTAAAATAAGAAAGATATGAGGGACCGGTATTTAAAAAAACCAAACAATGAACAGAGAAACAAGAGTAGCTGCAATCGAAGAGGCAAGATAATGGCCGAATGCACAATTAATTAAAGCATCCCTTGGACCTTAATTTTCTATCAGAGCGACCTTTACAATCTCCATGTGTGTGTATATAAATAGCCTAAACCACTCAATTTGTTGAGCGTGCCCACAAAAACTCATAAAACACAGCTCGACTCCTTGTTCCATCCGATCGAAGCAACAATTTAGTGAGCAACAATGGCGAACCAACAAGAGCTCCAACTAGTTGAAACAATAACCTCCCTCTATAACTCAATCTCAAAACTCCCTTCACTCTCTCCATCCGATGAAGCGAACCAACTCTTCACAAAGCTAGTCACCACTTGCATCCCTCCTTCATCCATCAACGTCTCCACTCTCCCCATTGAAGTCCAAGCTACGCGCTTAGAGCTCATCAAGCTCTGTGGAGAGGCTGAAGGACTTTTAGAATCCCATCATTCTAGGATCATATCAAGCCAGGACCAACCACTCAACCATTTGAATCTCTTCCCTTACTTTTCCAATTACGAACAACTCGCGAAGTTGGAGTTTAGCCTGCTCTCTCGTCACGTGACGATTTCTCCTTCTCTGGTTGCGTTCGTCGGGTCGGGTCCGCTTCCGCTCTCCACCCTTGTGCTTGCGACCCGGTATTTGACGGATGCGGTTTTTCATAATTATGACTTGGACCCGTCCGCGACCGCGAAGGCCAGGAAGTTGGTGGAGTCGGATCCGGATTTGGCTGAGCGGGTGGTGTTTCGGACTTCGGATGTGATGGAAGTGAAGCGGGCACTAAGCGGGTAAGCGGACGTATTCATTTCATTAATGATTGACTTTTATTTTAAATATATATTTTGAATTAATTATCTTTCCTATTCGTTTGCTTTCAATTACTAAAGTTTTTTGAAGGATTACATGCTCCTGAGATTTACGTGAATGACAAATATTTACTGTGGAGTTTTAAAATAACAACCTTCTCTTGATTTTTACCACAAGCATGATAGCATATATAGGCATCATGTGACTCTTGTGATGACAAAATATTCCTACCTCTTCTCTATAAGGAAGAAACAAGCATGAAGGTAAAAAAAAAATTTCAATTGAACTTATATATCACATGACATCCACCTAACTTCGTTTGAGGTAAAATTAATCAAAAGGAGGAGGCGAAAGGGTACGTAAATTTTGAAATTCGTTTGAATTTTCCGTTATTTCTCATAACAGCCTTGGGGACTTTAATTTCTGTAAATTTCCTGACTTTTCATGCGAATTGTTGTCTTGAGATGAAATAAACTATACGTACGTACGTATCTGATGATGAGAATGCTAATCCTCCAACAGGTATGACGTAGTATTCTTAGCTGCGTTGGTAGGAATGGACGTAGAGGACAAGAGAAGGGTGATTGAGCATTTGGCTCTCCACATGAAGCCTAATGCGCTCCTTGTGGTGCGCAGCGCGCACGGGGCTCGCGCATTTTTGTACCCGGTGGTGGAGACGGAGGACCTGAACGGGTTTGACGTGCTCTCCGTGCATCACCCGGAGGATGAAGTGGTTAACTCTGTGATTATCGCGAAGAAGAAGGGCATTGTCATGGCTAGCAAGTATTGTGAGCCTTTGGTGGGTCACTTTGAGCATGGGAATTTGGTGGATGAGCTTGCAATTGAGGGGCAAAACTCTTGATTTTTTTTTTGTTAGTTTATGTTTCTCTCCGAATAAGTACTCTCGTGGATTAATATGCGCGGTATACTTCTAGGGTTTATTTGAGTGATGGTCATGTTTCCTTTCGTGAGTTGGGTGTGATTGTATCTTAATTTCCTCCCTAAATTATGAAGAAATAAGTGGAGTTTATATTCACAACCAGTTGAGTTTGCTCTTTGTTTCCCTCCCTTCACCCGAGTTGATATGGAAGCAAGTAAGTTGCTCTCCAACGTTTGTAGTGATCAGTTCAATGGATAAAGATAAATATAGAAATACTTTCTGATTTTTTTTTCCTTTCGGCCGATAGAGTACACTTTCAAATGTTATGTCATCTTTTTGGTGTTCTTTTATGGGAAATTATTTTTTGGACTCAAAATCATAAGATCAACTGCCGGACATTGGAGGTTAGTGAGATAATTAACATGTTTTAAAAGTTTTCTGGAATTTCCAATTTTATTGGGAATTTAATGAGAGTTTCAAATTTTTTTAGGGTTTAAGTTGGGGTTCAATGAAGTTTATCCTAAGGGGCTGTTTGGTTGGTTTCCTAAAAATCAAGAATAGGAAATTGGGTCATGGAAATCTCAAAAACATTAATTTTCTCCATTTCCATCCCTTAAAACTCACTACAACATCCAATAAAATATTATTTTTATACAAACACCTCATCTCATCTCATCTATTTTCTTGTTTTTAAGAATGAACCAAACACAAGAAAGAAACTATTATAGGAAATATGTTTCTTATAATACATTTCCTTATTTTTTTTAACCAACCAAACAATCTCAAAACAAGTTTTCCTAAAAAATCACTCACATCATCCAATAATATGGTGACAACTCATCTCATTGTAGGCGTTAAAAATTGCTTATAGGTTTCCGTACGCGGCTCGAGGCGAAATGTAAACGATAAGCGTCATCATTCAAGTCAGGAAAGGATTATCCGGTCCCGTGGAAGCTAACGAATATACAAAGTGAGTCATTGGAGTGTACAAGTCAACCGAATGACGAAATGCACAATACAAGTCCGGAGAAGTCAGAAAGTGTCAAACACCTCAAAGTGGCCCGCACAAAGGATTGATATTTAGAAGTCAGAAAGTGTCAAACACCTCAAAGTGGCCCGCACAAAGGATTGATATTTTGACCATGATACAATTTGAAGTTGGAAAAATTCAAAAGACAAAAGTTGAAGGTCTCTTCGTCAGCTTTCTAACGCATCTTGAATCACCTCATTTCGAGGTCGGATGAGTGAGTTAAGGCCGCTATAATATCGCGCTACAGTAATTCCGGCCTCACTACAGTAATCCGACCCGTGCTACAGTAATCTGACCCATGCTACAGTAATCCCACCCGCGATGTTTTGATCCCCGGACGTGTTTTCGACGGTTTTGAGTGGTTTTCTTAGGATTTATCTGTTCCAGGGGTTCCCAACTGATCTGATATCATCCACAAACGTGGTTAATCAGTTATTAACTGAAGATAAGGAGGAATCATTCATTCTTATCCAAAAACCTCCAACCGAAACCTATAAATACATGTCTAGGGGCTCATTTCACCGAGGGGGATTAATAATCAAGAGGAGGAGGTGCTGTCGGATTGAGGAGTCAAAGGAGCACGAATTTCAGCGAGGGTTGACAGATCTTGGCGAGTTCTTCGGCATAAAGAAGGAGAGTTCGAGAGATCCGATGCCCGTTTCCCCTATTTCCTTGAGATCATGCTTGGTCTTGATCTCGAGAAGAGCTACTGATTTCACTTGGTCGATCTCAGCGCTTCAAATCAAATACTTCCTCGGCGAAAGCAGAGCTCTACCGAATTTTCAACAACCGGATCTGATCGACGGTCGTCCACGGATAAACCCCGGCACAGGTAAAGATCCCACGCAAAGCAGTGGGTGATAAACGTCCTCTGCGTTTTATTTGAATGAGAATTATATCTTTTATTTTCACTGTGTAAAGGTCTTATAAAAAGACCGATCTTTTTGAACTTATTGTAACGATCAAAGTTGTAATGAGTTATACAATGAAAATTTTTTTTTGATGAAAACAAACTGGCGACCACAGTGGGAGTCAACGGTCTCGCTACCGAGGCCGTCGTGTCGCAATCGATGATTAATATCCCAGTTGAAGAGGTGGTCGAATACGAGTTCGACTAACAGAAGTACGAAGAATACCTCTCGTCCTCCCCCTCCAGATCCTCCGCTTCTCGCAAGTGCAGGAAGATCAACACCCTCGTTGCTGCGATAGCTGAACCTTACAACGCCCTTCTGGCCTCTAACGAGTCCGGGTTTGCAGATCTGAACTCCTCCTCAATCAAGGAGTTGAGTACAGAAGGCGCGTCCACTTTATCGAAGAGAGCTCGCCAAAGGCAGTGCCAACACCTTACGCGCCAATTCGTTAGGGCTTTGGAGTCAATTGACGGGATCCGTTACGAGGCGGATCTGAAAATTAGGCAACGCCAAGCGCCCCAACAGCGGACAAATGCCCTCTCCTCCAAATCACCAATAAGTGAATGGGTACAAGTCAAAAAGACCCTTTCAACTCTTGAAGAGCGGATCAAAAAGCGCCGCGCACTGCTTGCGCATGCGCGAATTCTTGCGCAAGAGGCCAAAAGGTTGCAGAGGGAAGAAGTGGAAAAGAAACCACAAAAATTGTACCAAGTTTGGAGGCCAAAGTCCAAGACGGCGGCCGAAAAGATCGAGAAAAGCGGGTCACTCAAATCCGACCCTCCAAATCGCGGGCCACTTGGATCCGACCCTCCAAATCGCGGGTCACTTGGATCCGACTCTCCACTTCGTGGGTCACTTGGATCCGACCCTCCAAATCGCGGGTCACTTGGATCCGACCCTCCACTTTGCGGGTCACCCAAATCCGACCCTCCAACCCGTGGGTCGCCCAAGTCTGACCCGCGTCAGGGTCAAGACAGAAGACGTTCTGTACCGGTTTTGTCGATCCCTTCGAGTTTCGCACCTTCGGTGGAACCCGGCGATAGCGTGGATTTGTCCCGATTCAAAGTGAGGATGGTCGATCGCCTGGGTCCTTTGCACGAGGATCGAGGCAAAGTTCCGATCGAAGAACGCTTGGGTCCGGTGATTGAAGCCCGAGCGACTCGTCGAGCTGGGGGTCGCACACACCCTCGCAATAATTTCGAGCCTTCTCATAAAAGAAAAACTCCAGTTTCACCCTCAGAAAAGTGTGAGTCCAAACGTGTGACTCCTGCAGACGCCAATAAGGAGTTGCATACTCAGAAGAAAACACGTCAGACAAATGAACGCGTTATACCTGAGGAGTCGTGCCAACACACGATAGGTTGCTCTGGTCATCAGACCGATGAGTTGTACTATCGAGCTAGGGGTATGAATAAGTTTCGGAAGAGAAATACCCGAGAATCGGAGTCTCACTGCCCGTGCGCTAAGATTATCAGGGCAGTCTTATCAGCGTGTAGCTGCCCTAAGACCGCTCCGCAGAGGGTCTCGGTATTCAAGAGGATCTCCAACGGAATGACCGAGTCCAAAACAAAACGTTTCTCTAACAAACGACCGGCTGTTCGAGATGACGAATTCCCAGAAGTTACCATCAATATGGTCAATAAGGGGAAGTCCCCGATTGGTTCAAGTGGTTCTAGCCTCGATTTTTCTCCAGGAAGAAGAGTTAATTCGGGAATAGCTCGACTGATGTCTCGACTCCAGCTGAAAGCGGTCGGACCTGAACAATCCGCAGTCATAGCTAATATGGCTGGGAGGGGGAAGTCGACTTGACCTTCTAGTTCTGATCCACTCATATCTCATCGTCTAACCCGATTGCGATCATGAACCATTAGACAAAGAGATTATCAGCGAATGCAGAGGGGATTATCCTCGGATGACAAAGGATCAGATGCTAACTCTGCAGTCGCTTCTGACAAAATGGTATCCAGCCCAGGGGAATCCCGAGAAGTGTTTATGATTAACACCGAGGAAGTAGCCAAAATGGTTGAGGATGCCTTAGCCAAGCAAAAAGAGAACTTCAAGTTCGAAATAAAAATGGCTATGCAACGGATGAGGGAAGAACACGACCAACATATCCGAGCTTTGTTAAATCAACTTGGTGAATCCAGCCGTCACAACGTTGCTAACCAAGCAGATAGCGATTCATATGTGGATGAACGTCTCAATGCTGATAACCCTCCCGTTGACCAAAATGCTAGGGGTGGCCCCACTAAAGATAACAACGCTGGGGGTGGTTCCACCGAAGATGACAATGTCGGAGGTGGCCGCGTTATTCCTCTTAAGAATTCTCAAGAGCCTGATACAAGCGACGATGAGAAAATAAAAGATCTCGAGAGCAAAATAAACGCTCTAATGTCTGCTCGAGAGGTAAAAAGGACCGACATTCCATGTCCCTTTCCAAGAGAGTGGGATTCAATAGCATACCCGGCGAAGTTCAACCTGATTAACTTTACGTCGTTTAATGGAAAGGGTTCATCCACTCAACATTTGATCTACTTCAAGTCCCACTTGGGTATGATCTCTGGCAATGAAGCCTTGATGGTTCGGTCATTCGTTGGCACCCTTCGCGGGCCTGCCTTCGATTGGTACCGCCATATCAAGTCTGGAAGCATCAACAGCTGGGATGACCTGGAGAACCTGTTTCTCGCTCACTTCTTTGATGACGATGTCGAAGTGTCAATCAGGACACTCTTTGATGAGAAGCAAGAAGACGACGAAACGGTCGACGACTTCGTCAAGCGCTTCCGGAATAAGGCGATGAACTGCCGAGATCCAATCACAGAGGACTTCATCCTCCAAACCTGTCACAACAACCTCTCTTTGGACGTGTTGGAAGTTATAGGAATAGCACTGTTCAACAACTAGAAAGAGTTGAAGGTGCGCGGAGAGCATGCCGAACGCTTCCTCAGAAGGAAGAAAACCGAAAGAAGCCAACTGACGGCTAACTCTCCGAAATCAAATTTCGCCTCCCGTGGTAAAGGGAAAATGTCACGCCCTGCTTCCCAAAATACCCGGAAATCGGAACGTGAACAAGCCCGCGACGTATTAGATTGAGAAGAAATATACATTATCATTTTTTTTCTTTTCTTCTCAATCCAATACGCTAAGCGTCTGGAAATAGATACAATGCAAAGGCACAGGTCCCCGGTCACAAT